TTCTCCCCCAACCCCGCACCTCACAGAGCAGAGAAACTGGAGAGGGAGGGATTTCAAGAGAATAAGCTGTTTGTGTACCATGCCTACAGCTCCCAGCCCCAGGCTGTTGGTGCAATCGCATTGCTTTCAATCTATACAAGACAGTAAGCAGGGACTTACTGGGCAGGGGAGTGGTTAGAAAGCAAATAAAAGTCGAAGGTGTAAAACTGAGTAGTCTTGTCTCTTTCCAGCCAGAAAGCACAGTCATGGTCACATGATTTCCCACTTGGCAACCACTTCACTTAGCAACTAAGTTGCTAGTCCCAATTAGGGTCATTAAGCAAGGACTACTTGTATACAGTGTCACTCTACTAATACCCTTGTTTATCCTTAAAATATGGAAAGTATGTATAAGATACTCACTATTTCTTTCTGTTCTTTTTGAAAAACAGAAGATGAGGAGTGTTCTTATAGACCAAACACTAGAATAAAAATAAGAGAAAAGTTAGAGGGTAAAAGAAAGAAAGAACATCCAGCATTAAAATCTAAACAAGAGCAAACTGAACATTAATGTCTTTCTTCATAAGAATAATAACTATTATCTGTAGCACATCATAATTAATCCCAACCTTAATAAAAGAAGCTAATTAATGCCAAGCAAGTCCTGTGCCCAGGCAGCCACCTCTTTTCATGTTACAAGATGAGTTCACTGAATGGACTTTTTTCAAGCAAAGACATTAAGACAGTAAAACTCATAATTAGAGGCAAAGACTGCAGACTGAATTGGAAAGCAAAGACCAATTCCTGATCCATCGCCTGTCTTAATAAATTGTATCAAATTAAGGTACTCTATAGGTTTCCTGCCTAGGACTTTGGGACTCTGTTGCATATATACTCAGCTTTATTGAAGCTGCATTACTATACTGTATGTCAAAGACAGATAAAGCCAGAATTTAGAACAGGTGGAGGGCAATGCAGTTTCTGGTATTTCCCCCTCTCTTTTATTGAAACATCATACATTTATAGAAACAAAGATAAAGAGTTTCAGAAACTGCTGTGTTACAAGCAATGCAGTTGTTTGGTCTGTAAGTTATGTTTATGATGAACCAAACAGCAATCCCTTTATTATGAGCAAAACTGGTTCACCTTTGCGCTACAGATACGTCAATTTCAAACTATGAACAAGGTGGCAATGTGAACAGCTTTCAGTACATTGCCACCAAGACTAATACTATTGTGAGATTTACCTATCTCACAATACAGACTGATTAACAGGAAATACAAAGATCATGATAAACTTTTCAGGATCAAAACTTTTCCAAATCATTTTAGTTGCCCACATCTAGACTGTAGAAATCTCGACACCCACTAGATGGCCACAGTCTTTGAAATTTCTTTGCTGCCATCTTGTGGCCATCTGAACTTTTGCAGCTCAGATACAGTCTCTCCAGAGGTATGCAATTTCCATAAAATGTAGAATCAGAACTTGTTCTGGAATTTTTTTTTCTATGCAAATGAGTATACTTCCAGTGAGCATAATCATCTCAGTATCCAAAGTCTGCACTAGTACTTGGGCTACATTATCTGATGTGAAAAGTATTAAAAGCAGCCTATATCATAGGGCTTGAAATTTTCAGACCCTCATCTCTGATAGCCCTAATTTTACTCTATGAATTGCAAAACCTTTTTTGCACATTCACAATACATATTAAAGAAAAGGGCTTTACATATTAAAGTAAATTAGGAGTATAAATATTTCTGATAGTTCCATATTTCTCTCTTCATTTATTCTTATTTGGCAATTCTATAGATTTTTAGGATTTCAAGGAAGCTAAACTGAACAACATTTTAGATAGAATAGCAAAATTACTAAAAATGCCTTCATTATCTTATTTCTAGAAGTAATTTAAATGTATGCATCGAGCTAGGCAACTAACATATTCTTAAAAGCCAGCAAACATTGCCAACATTGGTAATACTATCAGACCCTTGGAGAGTAGCCTAAGGCAGCATTTTTCTAGGAACTGCCAACCAAGAAAGGCGGGCACTATTTACTTTGCTTAAGACTGAAAAGTCTCCAGAATTAGCACCAGATCACACTACATGTTCCACATAGATTCACCTCTTGACCAAAAGAAAGAAGGTTGTCAACAGCTAGCCATTCCTAGCAGGGAAAAAACAACTGAGACTAATTTTAACTGATCTTGCAAAGTAGACAACCTATTACCAGGGCAGAAGATACAAAGAAGTACCATTTGAGGGTTTTCTTATCCTTTCCCAAGGCCTTTAAAAAAAATTAATTCATCCCTCTCATAACAACCAACAAGAGAAAATTGATCTGTGTTAAATCAGATTACTGCTACTGCTACAAGAAAAAGTTAAGAGCAGGCAGGCAAGCAAGTAGATGAGAAGATAACAGAAAATGGAGCTCTAAGAAGTCCCTGTCCATCCTGTCCAGGGCTGTTGACTGAGAGTCAGTGTTCCCCAGACCTGGTCTAATTATTATTCCAAGGATTCCTATAGCCCTTGAGTCCTCTGTGATTTTATTGAGCTTACACTCATATATTACTGATAGTTTCTCATGTAATAATGTCTGTTTAATAAGACACAGTTGTGATTGCCAGAAATACAACCACTATGTAAGAGACTCCAGGGAGTTTCAGGAGTCACAAAACATTAGTCTAGGACCACATGCAGGCTCTGGCCAAATAGCTGTCCATTCTGTGTTGAAGGTTATTTTCTTAGTTTCAGAAAACTTTATTTTCTTCTTTTAAACCCAAACAAAACATTTCCTTCCTGGCAGATATTTACAAATCTATGATGTGAACACCTTTTCAAAACTATGTACAGCTGTGAATTTTATACCTCAAAATGGCTACTATAAAGCTAAAAGAATTCTAAGAGTCTAGAACAACACCATGTAGAAAATGTTCCATCTTTAGAATCATTTAACTTAGGTGGGAAAACTATTACGGAGGGGCATAATCCAGAAATATTAGATCATACATAAATATTATTTATTTCTCACAGTACTAGAAACTGGGATCATCCAATGAACCTGTAGAGTGGGAGATTCAGGACAGACAAATGAAAGTACTTCTTCACATGGAGCATACATTATGAAACTCACTGTTATAACATATATATAACAGTTGAGATGGTGAATACACAAATTAATGGAGTATAACATCTGTGGCTATCAAGTACAAAAATTATATATTAGTGCATGTCTTGTTCAAAAATAACAACAGAAGTCTAGTGTGCTTGTACATTCATCATGAACTCCTCAGAGCACTTGCTTGGCCCATGAAAGAAATTGTTTCATGACTCCCTGTCTACAAGTTCTAGATAGCTGCAGAGATCAGAGTAAGATGAATCACATTCTACTTCAAGGAGAACCCACAGCATCCTTTTCAACTCCTTCTACATAGTGTCTGTAAATATGACAAGTTATGAAACAGGAATATTTTACTTACATCAGAGGAAATGCAAAAAGTGGAAGGGTCATAATGAATCGAGCAGTCCATTCATCAGGAAGGTACCACAAATAAATAACTAAGCAGATGAGAAGATAGAGAACAGATGAATAGAGGAGAAACCTTCCCACCCATAGCTTCTGCTGTCTCTGATTTTTCTCTCTGAACTCTTCCAGTGCCTGGATATCCTGTAAATATAAAAATATTTATATCTGAGTATCTTAATAGCATTTTAACTTTCTAAAACTTTCCTCGGAAAAATTAAGAATGAGATAATGAATTGAATAGGTTTAACGTCCTAAACTGGTCTATGGTTTGTGTTTGGAAACATATGCACCCTCACTGAAGTACACATAGGGAGGAGTGGAACAGCATAGGGAAATCTCTGCGTAAGAAGATGATGAAGGAAATGATGAGGTTCTGATCATTTTATATTATCCTATATTAAAAAGGAATGAGTTATAAAGACTAACTCATTATCTTCAGATATCTTCAGCCCAAGAATATCCAATATGCTTGTGGAAATGGCAGAAACCAGAAAAACAAAGCTATAAAAATGTAGTTTTATTTTTAAATATAGTTTATTACCTGAAAATAAATACATTTGACCACTGGTGGTCTTCATTTAGCAACTGCCTCAGATAGTAACTATTTGCAAATACGACAATAATGAACAGTAGTAAAAAAGTCATTTTCCAACCAATGCGCACGCTTACCCAAATTTCTGCCCCTGACAATAATGCATGTCGGAGTGAGAGTAACTTAATCTAAACGAGACAGCAGCAACCAGTGATCTTCACAGAGTCTCTCTCTCCCTCTGTCATGAGGTTTGCTTAGCAACCACGTCATCTGAACCAATTGAAGTTGCTAAACGAAGACTACCTGAAATTCTGAATAAGCACTAGCATAATCTATTATCTTAACTATTACTTATTATATTTTGGTGCCTTATTTATTATATTTTGGTGCCTCCTGGACTAGTTCCTGCAGTTTTCTTAGCAAAATTTCAGAAGTGGTTTGTCATTGCCTCCTTCCTAGAGCTAAGAGGGAATGACTGGCCCAAGGTCACCCAACTGGATTTGTGGGACTACAACTCAAAGTCTCCCGGTTTCTAGCCTGATGCCTTAACCACTACACCAAACTGGCTCTCATAACTATTACTTACATGGAAGCATTTTATACTAAGCTTAACAGGCAAATTAATTTGTTATTCATCTGTCCCACTCCAGGGCAAGAAAGTCTTTGGCAATAAAGGCTGCTTTATAGCGCTGGAGAAGGCTGCTGCTCAGTATTTTCTTTTCATTTCTTTCATTTCTTCATCTTTCCATTTCTCCTACTACCTATGCATAGTCTCTTTTATTTCCCCTTCCAAAAGTACTTTCCTCCTAAAATTCAGCATTATATCCTTCAATTTCCATTTTCACTTATTCTCAAATGGACCGCTCCTATCAAGAATGTTTATGCTTGTGACATATATATGATGCTCTAACCAATCACCCATAATTTTTTTATGTTCTCCAATTTAAACTACATATAACCTGACACTTGAAAAGATAATTAAAGCCTCTCAGATAGCTCATAAAATCAGTATTAAGAGAAAATCCTACCTTATCAAGTTTTTCCAACACTTCTATAGTGGAAGGTTTTGCCTGCTTACAAATGAAAGGAAAAAGTTGTGAAAATTTACCCTGAGGGACTAGATAATAAATACTGTCAAACAAACAAAAATTCGAAATTTGGAGGTGAGGAAAGAGTTGTAATAATTTGAGAAATAACAGCCTCCCTTTCAAACGTTTTCTCTACTTATATTAGCTCACTTCCTCAGTCACCTCATGCTAAGGTTGTATATTACTAGTGACCGAAAGCATTTGGAGCACAAGAACTGTAACTTTTCCCATAACTGTAGCTGCTTCCACAGATCACGAGAAAGAAATGCAATAAGGATGTGGAACACTGCAATTTACAGACAAGGGGACCAATTTCTGAGGGAACAAATTGTATATGATGTGGCTTAACATTGCGTTTTTACAGCAGCACATATCCTCAAAATCAATATTATGATGTATGAGAAAAGTAGATCATTGAAATAACAAATTTCACTTGACTTATCGAGACCATCCCAAATGAAGCAGTTTCACAGTTCTACAGAGGAGTAACTTTGGTTTCAGGGCGATTAAAATGTTAGTACATACCAGTCAAGGAACTTCTATTTTAGGGTACATGAAAGTTTCTACTTACTAGGAAATTTAAGAAGTGAAAAAAAACTAATAAGCTTATGGAAGGTTTTTAAAAGGGGGGAAGAAAAAGAAAAATTAGCGCAGGGAAAAATTAATCAAGTTGTAAATTTTCGTAATCTTCAATGTACACATTAATTATCTTTCTATATGTTCCATAAGTACAAACAGAAGACTTCATTTTGTTGCAAGGTTTATGGTAAGATCCTCTTGAATTTTAAACAGATCTGTCTAGTTTTGCATAATTAAATAGATAAAAAGGACAGATTTTATCTTTAAATAAATTTATCTACAGTCTCTGGGAGGACACGCTAAAAGCCATATGATTTTGCCAGCCTGAAATCTATAAATATAGGACATGGCCAAAAGTCTCTGCTCTGCTTGCTATCAGTGCTCCAATGAAGCTGAAACAAAAAGGGTCACGCCAAGAGCAGACTGAGGGAGGCCCTGCAGCCAGAGGATCCAATCGCCACTACCCTTCCAATGGTAAGAAAACAGAAAAGGTTGCTCTAACAGTATAAGAAAAGAAAATACTGTACGTAACCACATTAAGTAATATATATGCTGAAAGGTCTCCTCTCCATCTCTCCCTCACACACACAGGCAAATTTACAATGGGAAAGGGAAATGCTTCAAAATGATGGGAACACAAATGAACATTTATGCTCATCTCACCTCTACATGGAAACTCTCATACAAACTTGTACTCTAGCCTCCTATATATGTGTGCATATGCACAGCATACCTGAATCTCTCTCTTCAACAATCTAATTAATTAATTAATTAATTAATCACTAAATATCTAGATAATTAACAGCCATCTATAAGTTCTTATGGGCCAGAATATGTTTAGACACTAGATCAGTTTTTTTCTGGGCCTGCTAATCTTAACTGTGATCTTGCACTCCAGTGAAAAGAAGTGCATAAGACCTTGTCTGAATGCTCTAGCAAAAAAAAAAAAAAGGAAGAAGAAAAGAGGAAGTAGAGAAGGCTGTTTGGGGTACTAGTGTTTAGGGATACTAGTTTAGTGATAGATTTCTATGCATTCCTATCATGTTGAGGACAAATTTCAGTTAGGCAAATTTCCATACTCTACAGTTACAGTGCAGTAGATCAAAGTGCAGTAAATGTAGGTTCTTCCTTCAACAGTGTAATCAATGCAATAAACTGGCAGTGTAGTATGCCAGAGAGACTTGAGTTCAAAATCTCAATTCTGCCATGAAATTTGCAGGTGGCCTTCAGTGAGTCAGTATCTGTCAACTGGAACCTACTTCCCAGGATTAATGTGCAAATACATTACATTAATACCATAAATGCTGCCCTGAGAGCTTTTAAAAAGAAGGGTGGGATATAAATGTGATGTATACATAGCAAAAAAAAAATATGCAGATACATCCTTTTGTATAATGGCATTATCTTCAACACTTCACAGCCATATACGTTTGCACATAAATGGAAAGGACCCCTTTTTCTATATGTATAAAGAAGCTCTGTTTAAATAGAAGGGTCTTTTTTAGATTAAACAGATCTGAAAAATAAAATTTGCTTATATGGGAAAAACTAAACACTCCATATACACAAATATAACCCAACGGCATTCATGTTTTTAAAACAGGACTAACAAGTTTATTGAATTATGTTTAAAGTTTAAACATGATTCCCCACATGTGATTTATACATTTTAACAGGCAGTCTTCATTAAAAACCACAAATACCTTCAAACTCAAGCCGCTATTCCCATTCTTGACTCCCATCTCCAACTTAGAAATTCAATGATAATATGATTTGTCTGTTCTCAGAAAAGTCTTCCATAAGATGCACTCCAAATACTAGCAAGCAGGATATAAATGCTACTTTTGTTAATCATTCCAAAAAAAGGGAAAAACTCCATAAACAAAGCTGCCTTTTATATGTGGCCTCTCATTAAGCAGCTACATCCCAGATATTACAAAATTAGCTTACCAAAACTCAACAGATTTTGCTTCACCCATCTTTCCTCTAGACAACCCTTTGGTTATTAACAATATGTTATCTTCTACCACACCACCTAGGACATCTCAGCCCATAACAACCAGACATGATACAATGCTGCATAAAAGATATGCATGGCCTTCTGATTGTAACAGATGGACTACATCCTCCAGTCTAAACATTCCAGTTGCTTATCTTCTTTGGAAGGCTCATCGCAGAAGTAGAAATAAGAGCACCCAATACACTGATAAATATGATTCTGCCCTAGCTACACTCACCATGTTGTTCTATATTACAGAAAAACTTAAAAGTTCATTTGAGACACTCTCCTGCCTGCACTACAAAAACATGTACCTCCAATTGAGAAGATTTACTTACCCGCCATCTGGAAATGATTCCACCCATTGCTTTATTTGTGGAGACGGGTCGTTTTGGTAACGTATAACCAATCTTGTAATGGAATTCACAGCTAGAAGTAAAGCATTTGTGTTTTTAATTAAAAATTCACCCACAGTGTAATCCTAAAAAGTATCAAGATATTTCAAACTATATTCTAGTCATCCAAATGACTCATCACTAACACACATAAGCAAGTTTTCAAATTCACCTCCACATTTTAACTTTACATATATATACTGTACTTTGTTTTATGCTAGAGTATACATTTTGTTCTCTGAATTATGAGGTAAAGCTTTCCAAAAGAAACCCACACTCTAAAATATCAAGTAGCCATGGAAACAAAATAAAGTTCCATCCCTTCTTTAATTAATACTAGACAAATAAAAATAAAAAATTTACTACCAATTAGATGACTATCATTAGCAACTGCAGTTTTAGAATGGAGAGTCTGAGAGCTGATTAATATTTCAACAGAATTTCAATGTGAATATTATGAACTTCATTCAAATCCCAGAAAGGCATTATTGAAATTAAAGACCTCCATTCATGCAAATATGGCATAAGATACAACTACAATTCAAATTAACTTGCTTGCCCTAAAAAAAAGTATTTTAATGGCATTACAGTTTCTTGGCATAATAAACAAGAATATCTAGGGCAGAACCAAAAACTAGTTTGCTTCTGCTGCCAGGAGGGAGGTACACAGTTTTCAGCAATTTCTCCCTCACTCCCTGCAACTCCCTACATTCTCATCTGTTCCAAAGGATTCAGGATCCGTGTAGAGGTATGAGAGAGGGGCCTGTGGAGAGTCTGCAGGGAAATCACTCAAAATTCTAGTCCCTCTAGTGCTGAGAGATCCCCTCAACAACAGAGAAAAACAAGTGAGGGTGTATTCTCTAGAATACCCATAATGCAAGTTGTGGAACAGATCTTGTGAACTAAGCAACTTTACTGCAAGCTGGACAGCAAGCACCACATATTAATATTATGACCTACAGTCCTAGACACACTTAGCCAGTGAACCCAGTGGTATTTAATTTGAATAAACATGAAAGCACCTCCTGTCTCTCATTCACACTCCAAAAAGTATTAAATGTTTAATATAATACCTCTACTTCTTTTTTCATCTACGAGGAACTAAAAATATAGATAGGCTCAAAATGGAAACCAACATTCCTATTAATTCTGTTAGTACAAACTGGGGCTTCCTACAGTATTAATTCTGTACGCTCTGAACATTATAGGTTAATAAATTTTATTAAGCAGCCTTTGAAAGTCCAAAAAATGAAAGTATAACCAATCAATTCAATTTATTAAATAAGACTCGAGGTTACTGGCTATCAAGTAAGCACATGGTGTTCACCAGTTACAATTCAGTTATGCAGAAATCTTAGTTAACCATCTAAGAGAAATTTAATACACTCAGTGAAATGATAGAAAGTCAAAGAGTGAGGTCAAGGAAGAAATGGAGGATTTTAAGGAATGATTCACTTTAGTGGTGTACAGACAGAGTTAGGAATAGAAGAATGAAGTGGAAAAATAAAGTTGCACCATTAAAGCTTCTTGTCACAGCAAAGAATCAAAAGAGGTTTAAAAATGTAGCATTCGCGTGTTAAAAGTGCAGAATCAGGCACAGCTTAGCTTGAGGATACAGAATAAAAAACTAACATGGAAGTTGCTTTCTTGAGGAGAAAATAGAAATAAAAACTGAGAAAGTAAAAAAAAACAAACCTTTCTGGGCAGTGCTGGGCTACTTTTGCTGGCTTGATATGATAGACACAGCTTCTTTTTGGGGGGGGGGGGTAAAGAGAAGGGACAGAGAAAAAGAGGGAGGAGTTGTCTAACAGAGGAGGAAGTTCTGTATACCTCTCCTGATTTATTGGGTGGTTGAAGGCCATTTTTATAATTTTCTTGGGGAATTTAGTAAATTCAAAGAAACCAAAATCAAATTCCCACTTCAAGATTTGGAAAATCATTAATTAGCCATCAGATGAAAACAGATATTTCCTTCTGTTTCCTGGGCTAAGGGGAAAGGGAAAGGGAAAGAAGATTCTTTGGCATAATTATGTATTGGTGATAGACAGGATATTGTCCACGATTATCCTAAGAAAAGACTTTATTAAAGAGTCAGGATTTAGCAATAGCACTAGGACAAGATGGAATACTAGAATTACAGATTATTTCAAAGTCTCAAGATTTAATCTGTCTTGTTGACATTTAAAATAAAAAAAAATATAAGAGCTGTGTCTGTGTGTACGACATGCATATGTGTGTGCGCAATAACTGAGTCCCAATCTGATTATGGTTCAGAAGATTTATATGTAAATACCCAGCTCTAAGCTTCTCTGTTTTCAGAGAGAGTAATAATAATTTATTAAATTTGTATACTGCCCAAATCCCAATCTCCTAGATCATAGGAAAGCTGTTACAGGTAGTCCTCACCTAATTACCACAATTGGGACCAGAATCTCAATCGTTGAGCGAAGCAGTCGTTAAGCGAGATGCCCACATGACTGCTTCACTCAACAACCACAATTCAGGCACTCCTGGTTGCGGCCACTAAGTGATCTCCCAGGTCATTAAGTGGACAGAGTGAAAGAGCTGTCTGCTGAAGGATTTCAGCTCTTTGAGAGCGAAAGGGCTGCTTGCCGGACGGTTTCAGTTCAGCTCCATGCAGAGCTGAAATCCTCCCAGCAGGCAGCCCTTTCGGTCTCAAGCGTTCCTGCAGCCTGCCGAAAGGTTTCCCCTCCTGCACACTGCTGAGAGGTTTCCCTCCGTCCCCTCTGCTTGCAATCTTTCCTGCATCGACTTTCTGGGGAAGCCAGCAGAGAAGATTGCAAATGGCAATCACCTGATTGCAAGGCGTTGGCAACCGGTCATAAATGCAAGCCAGTTGCCAAGCACTCAAAATGCAGCCATGTGACCATGGGGGGCAATGTTTTACGATGGTACAGGTCGTAAGGCGACTTTTCCGAAGCCCTTGTGAGGCTTAACTGTCATTAAACAAATGGTCGTTAAGCAAGGACTATCTGTATAAAGAAATGAAAAAGTCTTCACCCAAGTGTACTTGGGGACATATGGTTCTAAATGGAAAAGAATTCAGTTTCTGGAATTTTTGTAACCCCTTCCTATTCACCTCAATAAATCTTGCTAAAGAGAACTCTATGAGAATCATGCTTGGAAAAGAATCAAAGCCAGTTGCCAAGAGCGACATACACAGGCACACGCATGCACGCACACACATATACATATATATAAATACACACACAAATACACATTTACCCTCTTCCCTTTTGGCCTAAATAGGAAGGTTCAAATTAGCATAGATCCAGTTGGTGATTACTTTTTCTCCTCCAGGAATGTCTGCAATTTTAATCATGATGGGAAGCATTAAGAGAGTTGAGAAAAGAGAATGCTTGCAGAAGCTCTTGGGAGTGTCTTGCCTGAGATTTAATAATTAAAACCTTCTCCATGCTTCTGCTAACCTGGAATGGGGTCTTCTTTTAACTTTATCCAACATGTGTGAGCAGTTCCTGATAATTTCATTTGCTGCTGAAGCATAGCCAACTTGTAGTATATACAAGCAGGTCAAGATTTTCCCACTTCCTCCACAGGAACACAATTTTACCACAATAAGGTACAATGCAACAGAGAAAACCAGGCTGCAGCCGGAAGTACTTTCCACAAAAAGGATAACAAACTTTTTCTACTTGGGCTACAAATGACTGATTCCAAGACTGCCTCACTTCCTAATTCTTGGAGTTGTAAGTAGCTCTTACTGTATCATGAGAAAAAGATTTTAAGGGCAGAAAGAATAAGCTATTTAATCATATCCTAGTACATGAAAACATGTATTAATAAAGAAAAGTAATGGTAAAAGGTTATATTATAGAAGATGGGAGGATATGCATACAGAGTTCAACATCTCACTTGTTAATAGCTTTTCCTCCAGACATGAACAAAAGATACACCCAAAGAAAGTGGATATTTGCTTATCTATCTGTCAAAAGGATTTGCCAGATCGATCAATCGATTGATCGATCCACTTACCTATCTACCTACCTATCTACAAGTGCTAGTTCAATTAAGCTAGTTCAATTAAAAACAATCCTAAACAGCTTACAAAAGCAATATACAATAAGAAATATACAAATACATATAAATAAAGCCACTTCTCAATAAAATAACATCATTAATAGCACCCACACATATCCTGGATACATATATCTTCCACATCTCAATCTCCAAATGCCTACTTAAATAACCAAGTTTCAACAAGTTTTCCAAATATTAGCACTGAGGATGCTAATCTTATTTCTGGAAGGAGCTGATTCTGGACAAGGGGAGCTACAGCACAGAACATTCACTTTTCAAGTCTTCTCCTGCCATAACTCACAGGGGACAGGGGCTCTTACTAAAGTTTTTCTACCAGTATGCCTTGGGACACCAGATTCCACTTGGAATAAGCAGCCCTGCAGATATCCAGGTATATCCAAACTATACTTCTGCTAAATTATCCTCCTAAAAACCAACAGCTATGCAACTGGTGAGGCTGAAAGGATGCTTGAACAATCTCAGGTCATGTCCGCTTGGAAAGTTCATCTTGGATCCCTTTTAATATTTCATTCATTACTTGGTGAAACTGGGGGTATAATTTGGGGGAGGGAGCAAATCAGGTAATGTTATAAACAATGGAAAATGTGGGGATTAAAAGGAAAGAAAAACCCTCAGCTCTTCTGTATTGGAAAGTTTAGTACTAGTATATGTGTGCTATAATCTTCCTTTAAAAAAAAAAAAAAAGGAAACAGGCAGATTTCTTGAACTGCCACAAGATAACACAAAGGTAGTCATGGACCCTGCTAAATTACTTTTTCTAAAAAGCACTGAGAGGATTAATGGAATACAGTACAAGTATTTCAAAAGTATTGTATTTCTTTGATAATACTTACAATGGAAGAATGATTGGTGAAGATGACAAAACTGAGATGCCAAACTGACTTCTTTGATTAGAGAAAAGACAATATCTATGTTGACTGCTGACTGAAACCTCTTATGGACTTTTTGCGGAAAACAGAAAAAATGAACTTATGATTTATGGTTTTGATGATTAGACAGGCTAGATTATAGAAAGAAGAAAGACATGTTGTAACTTTAAAGGAATTGGTAAATTTATAATCGTACTTTAACTGCTGTAAATAAGATCAGAAGCCACTTCTTTGTATCTTTTTTCTTTCTTTTCTATTTTTTTTATTTTTCCTTTCTTGCACTTTTAGCTTTCTCTTTGATTTTTTTTCTTTTTCTTCTTTCTAACTTTATACAGTATTAGTTTGTATTAGTTTTTATCTTCTTTTTTAAAACTTTTAATAAAATCATTAAAAAGTAATGTATTTCAATTATAGTATCCTTCTGACACTATATTTCAAATGAAATCCAAATATACAGTGCACAAATGTGTTCAAATCTGCTATGAGTTGGCCAATATCAGTGATCAAATATCTGACCTGTTTTTCCCCCCTTTTTAAAGTAAAAATAGAACAAGGATTATAAATGACAATTGTTATCCAGCCATTTTAGCTTGGATTAAGTCCCACAGAACTCAGTGTGGGTAAACAAACCAAGGAGCATTACGTGAATGATAAAATCATAATAGCCCCTGCTATTTCTTTTCTAGGGAGCCCACTTTTGAACCAGGAACAAGCATGCTATCACAAGCACTAAACCTAGGATATACTATCCTGGATACTATCATTGATCAATTTTTATTCTTTTATTTTATGCACTGCAACTATCTGATCTCTACACTCTTCAATTCTAAAGTCATGCTTATTTACTAATATGAATCAAAAACAACAATTCCTTTTAATCTCATAGAAAAATGTACTAACCAGCCAACTCTTATATAGAAAACTCTGGACTTACTTCTGAACAAATATGCACACAATCAAAATCCAGTCCTACTTACCGAATGAGCTATCTCTAAATAAGATCATCTTACCGAATGAGCTATTTCTAAATGAGATCATCTTACCTTCCAAGATAACCAGTGTCCTTTTACCTCCTTATACATGTACAAAGAACCTCAAAGAAAAATACCTCTTTCATCTGTATAATGCATATAGGCTACAAAACCAAAGTTCTTGGATAACATTCCTTGAACTTCCTATATTGTAAATATCCTCTACTGTATTTACTTGCCAAGAAATAAAGCCTAAGTTAGTAGGCATGCTTATTTAAAAATTTGAATTCAAAATCAGAAACACTTTAAAGTATTTATTTTTTCTTTCAATATTTATCTGTTAACTTTATAAAAACAAAGAAACTTCCTTACACAGGTCAGCCCTTTGAGCTACCTAGCTTTATCTATTCAGACAGGAAGAAGAGTTAATATAAGATATTATATCACCTGCTTGAGATTTGGAGCAGGAGGAGGGATTTGACTTAACATAAAAGTCAAATTCTTGCTCCTGCTCCAAATCTCAAGCAGGTGATAAAGACCTGAACATCCCAGCATGATCCAGAAGACTTTGGGATGCAGAACATGAGCTATGCCCACTAGAATGGCTATTACCAGGTACTTTTGATCAGCCATCTATTTTCCCTTCAAGTGTTTCCCTAGCTTCTGGACCAAAGGGAAAAATCATTGTCTGAGGAACCACTAATGATGCAAGGAGACATACCCACCTTTTCCCAAATAAGAAATCTCATACAACTTCAAGTTCTATGGAGAAAGAGCACAGAACTGAAAAGAGAGTTGTTAATTTCAGGGCAACCTCCCCCCACCCCCACCCAAAGAAAAGATGACTATCAGAATTAGTCTCAAAGGGCATCCTCTCTAGAATACAGGATGACCTCAACTGGGAATAAACTTTTTAGTGCTATGCATGCTAATCACATGTTCAGACTCCTTGCCTGGAGAGACCTAGCAACATTTAGGCCCAGCAGCCTATACTTTTAAGAACTAGAGTAACATTTCCCAACCTGAGCAACTTTAAGATGTGTGGAATTCGATTTCCAGAATTCTTGACAATGGCCATGCTGACTGGGGAATTCTGAAAGTTGAAGTCTACGCACTTGAAGTTGCCCAGGTTGAGAAACATTGAATTAGAGGATACAGCTAACATGTACAAGGACTAACTGCACAATGCTCATTAAAACATGGTTTATCTAACACAGATAAATCCAGCCATGCACGCAAAAACAAAAGACAGGCTTTGAGCTGTTTTTCTATTAAATATTCATTTGTCATTTTTTTTATCATACAAAGAAAAAAATACATTTTCCACTTTGGAACTAAAAGCTACTGGCAGAGAGTGGAGTTCATTATTTTAACATCTCACAAAATGCATCATTGTGTTCATGTTACACCACTTTCAGTGTTTAGCTAATCAAGAAACAACTCGAGATACTGGAAAAAATATTTTAGCAGTTCAGTCATTGCCAAACCTCTTCCAAATCTGTTGGCTAGATAATAAATGGTCAGCTAGATAAATTACTCATCCAAAGAAGCAATAACTGATGAATAAAAATATGCCTTTAATTGAGCAATCCAAAGAGGACAGGGGAAATATAATTGCTAACTTAATCGGCAAGCTGAAAAGTATGATGGATTTTTTTGTTTTGTTTCTTTTCTTCCCATTGCCCGTTTTCCCAAATGGGTCAGAAGATAAACCTTCAGCCTCCTGAGCTGAAGACCTTTATTCCCTACTTTGGGATGGAGGCGATGGGGGAATAGAAGAACTCTGGTTCTCAAAGTTTCAATCTTCCCTGTCATGGGCCCCACGTTCCTTTTTACTGTCTTCAGAGAGAAGCAACAGCTGCAGACATTCACACTGAAGATCTTCTGTATGGCAGAGGGGTGCCTTGCCATCTCAGGAACTAAATGATTATAGTCTAAACTATTCTGAAATGTTGAACACCAGAGGAGGAGCATAGTGTCTGCACTGGGTTTGAAACAGATGACAAATATTGCCAAATACTGAAAAGCAATAAGGTGCTGCATGTTTCTGTCATAAGTGGAATCTTAATTACATACAGTGTGACCAAAAATAAAATTTTGAGAACTGATTTTGGAGTACATAATGGGAAGGAAAAAATAGGGCAATGCTTTTCTTACATCTTCCTAGGCAGGAATCAGTACTTCCCTTCCCACTGTAATATGCAGTTGGTTCCTCCATCAATTCCCCCCCCCACCTTAAGAAAAAAACTAAATTGTGTATGGCTGTAAAAATCTGCATTTTTACAGACTCTTGTAGAAGTTTCATGGTTGCCAGTAATTAATTGAGCAATCCAAATCCTAAAAAACAAACAAACCTGAATTACTTTATTTCTGTTTAAGTAAGCTAGATGAAATCTCATACATAAGCAAGGCAAGAAGCCACTCACTATGCACGCTTTCCCACAATGAGAACTATTTATTTTACATTTCCCCTTTCCTTTTTTAGCAACTTTACACAAGATGTATCTGTGGTATAACTCCTAAATCATTGTACACTTTTAATGGTGTAAGGCCTTATATGGACATACCTACATACATAGCTTAAATACAGAACCACTGATTCTGAATTAGAATTATTTTTTTAAAACAGAGGAGGGGGATCAATTTAGTGTGATATCTAACCGAAAAGGAAAAGGGGGGGAAAAAAAAACAAGATCGAAAAGCCACCCAAGTCCAAATCTGCTAGTTTCACTCTAAAATGCAGTCCACACATTTAGTCAGGCTCTGAGGCCTATATTCAAGAAGGCTAGACTGCGTGCAACAGCGTGACCCAGCTGGGCGCCTAGGGAGCACAGGCTTGCCTCCTCTCCCTCCGCCCATCCCTCAATGGTTACTGCGGCAGCCTCCGCAGGGGAAGGGTCGTGCCACTCGTACGCCCTGGCATCCCAACGCAGGGCATCGACGGCCTCTGTCCGGCGCTCCCAAGCCGATCCGCAGCAGGCTCTCATAAAGGCAAGGCAGGGAGCGGTGGCCATCGAGGGATGCTGAAGACCAGCAGGCTAATAAGGGCCAGGGCGGGCGGGCAGGCAAGCAAGCCGCTCCAACTCCGCGAAGCCACTCACCTCCCTCGCTTTTCCCCTTCGTTAAACTTAACAGACCCCCGGCAGGTCTCGCTCGGGACGCTGCTAAGCTGCAACACCTCCCTTCCCCGTCGCTCCTTCTCTAAAGTTTTTTATCGCCACCCGTCAGCCGGCCAGCAGGCGTACACGCCCCCCTCTCCTGCCCCCGGGGGGAAACGCACCTTCCCTGCCCCACCGCAACTCCCTTCCGACGTGCTTCAGCTGCGCTGCTCGACGTGGGGCGAGGAAAACGGGGTTTCTTCCCTCCCCTCCCGTCGAACTTCCTTCGCGTCTCTCAGTCCGAGGAACAACGTGAGGAGGCTGGCGACGCCCGCGGTGCGGCCATTCTAGAAAAGGGCAAAGCAAAGCCACCGAGGAGGCGGTTATGACGCAAGACTGGCGCCGTACGCTACGTGGCCATCTTGGAAAAGGACGAGTCGTCCGGCGTTTGTTACGTTGTTTGCATGGAATTATTCATCCGCTGTTCCACTACGGAGGGCTTTCAAGTTCAACTGCAAGAAAGAGATAGTTTGTTGATTGACTCTCTGGGAATCGACATAGTGGAGCTTAAAATGTATGTCGTCCGGCCTAGAAGCCAGAGTGGTACAGTACTGAATTTGGGAGGGAAGTTTTGCTTCTGAGGCTCGATTCGGAACGGGCGGGCGTAAGAACCCAGACAATAATTAACTCTTCAAGCGCCCGGACTTAAAAAGAATCGCGGGCGTTTTGTACCTTTAGGATGAAAGAGAGCGCGGAGAGTGACAGGCAGAGAACTGGCGGTGCCTCTATGGACAGGGCGGGAAGAGGAGGCCCGGCGGGAGCAGCGCCTGGCTTTGCAGTCCCCGTGTTTGGTGCTAAGCGCGGAAGACGCAAGGGGCGTGTTTAAAGCGCATATCCAGCTGTTGGATATAGATTTATAAAGCCTTCTGCACAGGTGGAGAGCCGCAAGTGTGCTTTTGCACGGACGGAGGAGACGGAAAGTCTTTTCCCGCTATTAGAGGACAGCGGTATCAGGACATTTTACAAGGAGCAGACGCTAAAGGCACACGGCCTCTTGCACTCTAAAATCGGAACAGAAATATAATGGGGGGGGGAGGAAATAAAGGTGTTCTTCTCAGTTAAACGGGAGAAGAACATGCTAGTCATCATAGACGATATTGTATCTCTCCTGCTTTTGCATCAAAGGCATTCAGCCAATGCACAGTTTCCTTAGGGTGTTTTGACACAGCATGGCACGAATAAGATCCTAGGCAGGAAAAAAGCCTTTCTCCACTACTTCTGTCATTTATCTACCCCTGCATCTCCTGTTCCCCAGTGGCAAAAGAAGTGGGGGGAAGAAAGACAGAGTTCCCCCTTTTCTGTCAACCCTCCATTTTTCTTGCCACAGGTGGCAACAACAGGAGAGGAGGGGAAGTGGGTCATTTTACCTGTTTTTATTAACAAAATTAAAACAATACAATAGTGATGCCTGTAATACACACAAAAATCTACACACACATGTACATATTAGTGATAAACTGAAACTTTTTTAAAAATCCATATGTGCTGTTAAGATAACCTTAGTCCTTTAACATATTAGTAAATCTAAACCATATAGCCACATAATATCTATCATCTGTGCGATATAAAGACATTTAAAAAATCAGTGAAGAACACATCTCTTGAATCCACTTTTTGACATTCCACCTTTGTAGAATGATTCTCTTAGCTGATCTCCAAGCTAGATTGAGCCAGTTCTTTATAACATGCCAAGTTCTATATTTTTGGAATATAGTTCAACATTGCATTTACATCTTTACAAGTTTTTCTCCAAAGCTGGGCTAACATGTAACTTGAGACCTGAAAGGGGCTGTAAGCAAACATGAGCAAATGTGAGTCAATGAGACCTGTAAAATCAACACAAGAAGTCTGATATTCTTTTTTAAACTCCTTCTGGGGAACCCAATAAACACAAAATATTTTCTGGTTAATTAAATTCATATCTACGTCACAAGAATTGTATTTAACATTTCTTAAAACTTGGCCCAATCCAAATCTGAAGATGGGAGGGAAATATTTTATTGGAACTCCCAGGCTGAACAAGAGATCAATAGCTTAAATCAGGTGACTAGCAACCAGTATTTTAAGAATTTTGAAAGGTTACATATTGATTGTAGCTTACCTAAATCATCTGCTCAGCAATATATTTAGTTAAAACAATATGGTCCAGGTGCTTGGAGCCCCCCCCCTTAGATACCGTTTTTGAAATAAAACCAACAATCCAACTTTATTTGAAGTTAAAGAGTATGATGAAGGGTTAATGTTGGTGACATATATAAGCTCTGGAATAAGGAATCAGAATATCCAGTCTTGGCAAAACAATGTGTCTTCTCACTCTTTCCCACAGAAGTATAGACTGCCAGCCGCTTCTCCCAGTTGAAAAAGCGTCCCCCGTGTCTTTGGGGCTAAAACACCGAAGACGCAAAGAGGGTTTGAAGCACACATCCAGCTGTTGGATATAAGTTTATAAAGCCTACTCCACAGCTGCAATGCTAAGCAGTGGGGGGGGCACAATGCCATGGGATCCCTCCCAATAGTTGTGACATTGCAGCACAGAAGTTGCCAGGGGCCGGGGTGCTCAAAGCACATGTCCAGCATTGTGCTGGTCCTGCAGTGCCTGAGGAGGACTGAAGGCCTTTCCTGATTATGGAAGTAAAGTGCTACCCACCCATCCTTGAGTTGGCAGAAACGATACTGTACTGGCAGAAACTGTTGCTGATTCCTGTGCTGCCTCCTCTCTGTTCTAAGTCATCACCAAATGGTACTGTGCTGATTTTGTCTGGGGAATTTATGATAAGCAAAGCAATTGGTTGATTCCTCTGGTTTTGCTGCCCTCTCTCTTCTGCCTGCCACAAGCCGGTGAGAAAAGCATCCCTCAGTCATGGCCCTGGAGCAGAAATGGGGCAAATCTGACTTTGTCCATCATCTCTAGGTTCCTTCTGTCCTTGAGTCATATAGGGAGCCCAGTCACAACCCACACTTTTATTGAGGATCTTTCCTTCCTTTAGGCAGGCAACAAATACCAACTTCCAAGTTCTAATATGCTGTATTTGGGAGGCAGTGGGAGGGGGGCTGTTAGTCCTGTCATTCCACTATTGCAGCATTCAGCTAAACTAGTCAAGGTAATAGTGAAAGTGTTTACAGTATCGTCAGCTGAGCAGCATAGCATTATTGTGCAATTCCGATAGACCACGAGCACAGCACTGCTCTCACTGTTTAGGAGACCACAGAGAATAGTGGCAGAGAAGGGCTAATCTAGGAGTAGAAGGAAGGAGGCATAGAAATATCCAATAAGCACCACCCTGTTACTAGTCACCTGACTTTGCTTCTGATGTAATAGGTGGTAAAGTGTAATAGATTGTATACATTTAACTGCTGTCACTGGATGCTGTCAGCTTAATTGGAAAAACACAATCACCAGTACAATTATGAATAGTCTGTCTTATGGGCTGGGGATGAGATGACAGCAATGTCATATGGACATGGTAGAAACAAAGATACAGGTAGTCCTCACTTACTGACTGCCTCATGTAGCAACTTTTCAAAATTATGATGGTGCTAAAAAATAACTTTGCGACCAATCCTCGCATTTTTGACTGTTGCAGCATCCCACAATCATGTAATTGTCTTTCACGTACTTTGCAACCAGTGTGCATTTTCACTTGCAATAAGCTGAGTTAATACTGTACAGTATGGAAGGCGGAAGTAAAATTGTAAGTCGTGGTCACGTGATTTTTCGCTAAGTGACCATGTTGCTTCACTTAACAACCAAAGGGGAAGTAAGGTCATAAGCCCAGTTGTGGTCACGTGATTTTTCACTTAGCAACCGCATTGCTTAGCAACCAAGTTGCCAGTCCCAATTGTGGTCACTAAGCAAGAACTACCCGTACTGCCAAGGCAAGTATCATAGTTTGATGCAAATGGAAAAAGGTTCTAGTTTCCTTCAACTCTTTCCTTTCAAGTCCAGACTAGGAATGAAAACTGTCCATAAAAAATAATGAGGAAATGCAAGATGTTATCGTAACTTAAAATCAGCTATCTTTGATAGCCTTTGGCTATCAGTGTGAATTCTGAAGTTTCCTTTCCAGACAACAAAATGAATATATTTCATTTTTCCCCATGCCTTCAACATGTCTTAAATCCCAAGACTGTTTTCTGGGATTTAAACATGTCTGTCCCTTAATTTACAAATGTCTGTGTTAGTGGGTAGCAGGAGAACATTTCAAGTGTATAGAAAGCTCTCTTTTCTTTTGGAATGCTGGTGTTTCATCTAGTAAGTATGCATTCATTCAAGGTAGAGGGTGTTGTAGTTAAAACATTTTGGAAGAGAAGTCTTAAACAGAGTAAGTTGGAAGAGATTACTGAGGTGACTTAATTGGACAACATTTGAATCTCTGCTAGGTTTCACGCAAATAAATGTGAAATCAAAAGAAACAAGACAGCTGTTCACTATGCATCAATTCACGGCAATCCCTTCTATAACTGGGATTACTAGCACAGATTCCAGGTGGAATACTTACAAGCAGGTCTGAATGCCGACAGAAATTACAGCTGGCCTCCTCAAAGATGCAGTACTGGCAAAAAAAATGACATAGTGTAAATATTCAACTATCTTAGCTAATTTTTTTATTTGCTAATCAAATAGACTTTCATAAACGACTAAGTTTGTAGAATATTCCAGTAGTTCAGTGGTTATTTCTGAACTAGGCTGAGTACTTCAGTAATCATGGTAGGAAAATCTATGTTTAAAGCTGGTACTTGAAATTAAGCATTTGTTTACCAATTGTAATATTAGTCCTACATCAGTGGAATGCCCAAAGAAGTTTAGATTTATTTTTTCTGTTGCTTTGATCTTGTCTTTGCTGAGAGACACATAGAAAATGCATGCATCTAAAAACACTAATTCCTCACCAGAGTCTTAGTAGTGATCCCAAGTCCTGTTCAACTTCACTCATGTTGTTAAGTACAAAATTCAGAATCTATGTAGGAATGCTGTAGCCAATACTGAGTTATGACAAAACTGCCATGTTAAAAATGTAAGATTGTATTACATCCAAATTCTTATTTGTACAGTATGTACAGTATATGTACAGTACAGGTAGTCCCTGTGATGGAATGGACTTATGAAGGCCAGGCTCAGGGAGATAAGCGTGTTCTTAGCCCCCACCAGGAGCGTGGGAAGTTCAAGAACAGTATGTACAGTATATGTACAGTACAGGTAGTCCCTGTGATGGAATGGACTTATGAAGGCCAGGCTCAGGGAGATAAGCGCGTTCTTAGCCCCCAACAGGAGCGTGGGGAGGTCAAGATGATGAGGCTGGCACCTCCCTAAGGAATTCACGGTGTTGTGGCTGGCTGGCTTGGGAACTAGGGTTCAGTCTGGGGAGATTTCTGTCTGGAGGTTGAAGCTAATAAACACAACAGAACTGTATTTGCATTGTCTCTTGGAGTCCTTTGGGCTGAACCTGACAGTCCCCCGGTTTATGGGTGACCCATAGTTAAGATTGGAGCCTATTGTAGCAAAATGTGAGTTAAATACACAATGATTGAAGTTAATTACACAATACTACTTATACAGTATTATACAATAATACTGTTCCGGCT